CTTGTTATTTTATTTTGTCTTTGGCTCTCCTAATAGACTCTCCCCTCCAGATTCTTTCATCCATGAACTGCCAACTAAAACCCTCTTCTAAGTTTTACTAATTTCTCCCCTGGTGTGCCTCAGCCTGTGGGTGTTGTCCCATGCGAGATGGTGGATGGAAGGCATAAAGCACCTCCTATCAGTGAAGCAGCAGTGAGTCTCTTTCCCATCTTCATCCTGAGACAGGGATTGGACTGCACACCTATTCCTCACAGGCATCTGTGTGGCATAGAAATGCTGTATCCATGCTGAGCCCCACCCAGCTTCCTGTGATAGAAAGAGATGGGATAATTGAGCACTGGAGTCCTTGTGTGGGGAAACCAATTACAGATTTCCAAACAAGAGAAGGATAGAGACTATTTAAAATCAGAAGGTTGTAAAGTGGTACTAATATGGACTTCTATTAAATATGGCCTTGTGTATATAATGTTTTTAGTGTACTAAGCACTTGCTGGAATGAAGACGACATCACCAGTGATCCAACAGCAGTTATAGAAAGCAGAGGTACTGGGTTGGGGATGTACCTAAGTTGACAGAATTCTGAGTCAATGAGTTCATAATAACCTGAGTTTGGGTCCCAGTGCCCATATAAAAAGGCCAGGTGTGCGACAGCAGGTACCTACAGTCCCAGTACCAAAAGGTCACCTTGGAGAACCAATTGCTGAGTTCCAAGTTCAATGAGAGACTCTGTTTTCACAACATCAGGTGGAGGGCTACAGAAATGTCTTAGCAATTAGAACCAAAGTTCAGTTCCCAGCATCCATATTATGTGGCTCACAATCACCTGCAACCCTAGCTCCAGAGGTTCCAGCACCTTCTCATTACACACATACACATAAATTAAAATAAAAGAAATCTTTTCTTTTAAAAAACCATGTTGAGTGATAGAGGAAGGCATCCAACATCTACCTCTGGTCTCCACACACATCCAGTCATGGTGCACACATGTGCAGACACATGCAATAAATATATGGACAAATAACCAAATAAATAAAAGAGTGGAACTTGAAGCAAAAGTGTCTACAGATACACAAAAGTGCAAAATGTGTTCTGAAGCTGAAACCCCTACTCTGAAAACACATGGTTGCTCACAAAATCCAGTTAACTGTTGAGGGCAGGCTTTGGCTTTAAAAGTTAAAGATACGAGAGTGTGGGATAAAGATGAATGGAGAATTAGGCTGCTACTTACGTTGCCAACATTGGAAGAAAGAAAGAAGGTAAAGAGAAAAATCCATGGAAAAATTAGCTTCAGTTGCAAGCGGGAGAAAAGAAATATCTCTGAGGGGACACAGATTAGAAGGGTCTTCAGAGGGGGTTGTGCTGGAGCACGCCTATTCCAGACCTTGATGGGTGGGGACGGGGAATCAGTGGTTTAAAACCAACTTGAGTGACCAAGACAAGGTCTTTTTTAAAGAAGTCTTCATTCATCCTATCTCTCTATCCAAACTACAAGTGACCTGCAGGGCAAAGTAGCTGAGGCCAACAAGGCTGAGTCACTGGCCACCGCACACACAGCCCAATGCCCTGGTCACCGCACACACAGAACAGCGCCCTGTGTGGGCTTGTGTGGAAGATCCAGGACAGCGCTGACAGGTTCACCAGAAGCTGATTCAAGACTTAAGGAACAGACCCAGCCCAGTTTCCAGTTCAACAACAAAATTTTCCTTCCTCGTTCCACACTCTTCTCCCCTATACCTAACAAGCAGCAAGGATTGAAACAGACACAGACACAAACAGACCAGCACCGGACCCTGACAATAAGAGGCAAAGCTGCCTTCATTGTTCTCTGTGGGGAGCAGAGGAAGGACTTGGCTGAGAGATACTGAGCATCTGACATTTTTTCCATGTTCAGCCAGTAGGCCAGAGGTCAAGAGCTGACTAGCTTAAGAAAGCAGATTAAACACACTGGGGAAGTTTTAGCAGGCTGGGGGTGTAGCTCATTCGGTAGAGTGCTTGCCTGGCATTCACAAAGCCCTGGCTTCCATCCCTGACAGGGAATAAACCAAGCACGGCGGTCCCATCACTTGGGTGGTAGAAGAGAGAGAACCAGAAACTCATGGTTGTCGTCTGTCTGATACATAAACAATTCAAAGTTAGCCTGGGCTACTTAAAACACAGTCTGGGAGATAGCCTCCACAATGCGAAGTTCTGAACCCAATAGAGACAAGTGTTTTCATGTGAAGGTAAACAAATGGCATGCATGCAGGAGACCAGAAGTTTGAAAGCTCTGAATGGTTTTGGATCTTCCAGGTGCAATGTGATCCCTTTTAGGAAGGCGAGTCCAGAATGGGCAAGAGAACACAGAGGTCAGACGCAATCAGGGTCTCTAAATCTTTCTTCCCGTGGAGCTTTCTAGTGAGGTGGTTTTACTGTGTCTTGCTTACTCAGCAAGGAGACTCAGGAGGGGTCCTGGAGAAGTATGCCACTTTCAAACATCTTGGGGTTCCGTGCTCCTGCAGAACACCACATCTCCAGCCAAGGGAGCAAGGCAATCTTGGTGGCCCTTCATCTCAGCCTGTTTACACAGAGTGGAAAGGGCCCTATATTTTGCTTTTTATTGGTTCCCAAGAACCCCCTGAAGATAATCAACTTCTGCCTTCTGCCCAGTGCCTGTGACACAGAAGAAATAGAGCATAGGCCCCTGTGTCTCCACCCTGAGCACCTTTCTTTTGCCTCAGTCTACACAGGTATTTGCCATACCCTAGAAAGCTGCTTTTACTTCACCAACCCCCCTGTTCCTTTTAGAGATCTTGCAGTTTACATTCCAAAGTTGACACCTCAAGGCAACTTACCAGAGAGACATAGTTTAGTAGATTATTTCCTAGGGCCGTAGGTTCCATTTCTAGCACAAGCGAAAACAAAACACTCTCTAATAAAGCTTATCATTTGTGTGTGTATGTATCCGTGTGTATATTTGTATGTGTATCTGTGTGTACATCTGTGGGTATATCTGTGTCTGTGTGTACATCTGTGTATTTCTGTGTGTGTATCTGTGTGTGTATATCTCTCTGTGTGCATCTGTGTATCTCTCTCTCTCTCTCTCTCTCTCTCTGTGTGTGTGTGTGTGTGTGTGTGTGTGTGTGTTTGAAGCTTTCCTTTCCAAGACTGAATTTATAATATCCATCAGGCAGGGACACACAGTCACCCTTATTCATATAATCAAGGCTATAAAAAATTTAATATAAAAAGAAGACAGTATGCTGTCTGATACCGTCATAGGAATCTTTCTGGAATGAACACTCTGACACCAACAGGGTAGTAGAGAAGGTGATGTCCCCGATGGACTAAAACCAGGACAGCTCCTGAAAGGCTTTGATCCGGGTTTAGTTTGTGTTTTTATTTTATTTTTTAAAACCACAAGGTGGGGCAGGCAAGCAAGCAGGACTTTACAGATGCCTCAGTGGCAGTCAGCAGGTTGTTAAGGGCAACAGCCCTTGGTTTCAGCTAATTTTTTTAAGTCATTTTGTTTTAGGTAGTTAATGAAGTCCTGCTTGACAAGTAGGCTGTACAAGCAATAAATAAGCATTTAACAATTGGATTTTTACCTTTTTTAACCTTATGATGCCTTATAAATTTGTCATAGAAATGAGTCAGTGTTCCTATTGCATCTCCTATGCTGTACTCTGCTGGATTTCATTTGCACCTCTAATCTTAATCTTTTTAATAACTTTTTGGCATTTTTATACTATTTTGACTGGCTAGCATAAAAATAGCATTTTTATTTAAAATCACATTCTTTTGGTTGGTTTGTTTTTTGGTTTGGGGTTTGTTTGGGGAAGATTTTCAGTGTTTGCTTTGTAGTATAATGCTGTAGGATTTGGGGAAATATGAGGGCCCACAGATGTGAGTCCTGTTTCACCTTGACTGAAGGTTGGAGAGTCTGAGCTTATTTTTGTTCTTTCAAAGTTGTTGACAACAGATATGGTTACAAACAAGAGATTCTGACCTGGGGTGTGGTTAATTAGTATTTTGGATATAGCTTATTGTATTTGTAAGGTACCAAGCCACATGGTAGAACATAGACAAAAAATATGGGTTAATTTAACAAGCCTAAGATATCAACAGAACATTTATAATTAATATTAAGTCTCTGTGGTTATTTGGGAGCCGGCTGGTGGGACAGAGTTGACTGGTGGTCCTGATGAAAAACCAACTCCTACACTCTATGGTCAGTTTTTATATTGTTTCTCCTTGGTTCCCCTAACCAAAGGCCTATAGTGGTATATTATTTGTATTTTAATAATAAATCTTTTTGTGTGTGTATGTGGTTTTTCGAGACATGGTTTCTCTGTAGCTTTGGAGCCTGTCCTGGAACTGGCTCTTATAGGCCAGGCTGGCCTCTAACTCACCGAGATCCACCTGCCTCTGCCTCCCAAGTGCTGGGATTAAAGGCATGAGCCACCACTGCCCAGTTTTAATAAATAAATCTTTCCTGAAAACCAGAAAAGCAAAGCAGCTAAGCCACTAGAGAAGTCTTACCTCTACCAAGGCTGGGTAATCACAAACTAAGCAGACTAAATTTCTCTCTCCTCATATTTTATATTCCCTCTAGTGTTGGGATTAAAGGAGTGTGACTCCCAAGAACTGGGAATAAAGGTGTGAGCCACCACCACCTGAATTTATTTCTGCATTGATCTTGTGTAGCCCAGGGTAGCCTTGAACCCACAGAGATCCATCTGTCTCTGTCTCCCAAATCCTGGGATTAAAGGTGTGTGTCACTGTTACCTGACCTCTAGTGGCTTTAGCTTTCCCTCTGGTCTCCAGGCAAAATTTATTTATTAAAATACAAATAATATTCCACTACAAAGGCCCATTATGGCCTTAATTCCCTGTCCCTCTGTGGGAGCTCCCTTTCCAGCCCCTCTTTCATGGCATCCAATGTTTAAGAGAAGATCAAAGGGCTGTCACAAGTGGGGCCATCTCCGAAAGGAATCAGTCTTTTTACCAGTGTGGGAAGATCTATCACATCACAATGAGGTCCGAGGGATGATCTGTGTCTGGTCTATTCCTCTGTAGTAGCTGACCTGATGACTAGGGTGGTATCATGCAAGTGCGTTTCAAGTTAATTCTCTGGGTAAGTGGGAAAAACTTCTATCCAGCCTGAAAAAAAATTGCTCATTATAACCAGCAAGTATGGGACCCTCGGCTAGATTGAATACAAAGTCCACTTGTAGATGTCTAAATGGGTTGGATCCATGTTTTGTGTCAGCATGGGGCTTGGGTCCCTGCTTCAAACTGTTCTAAGCACACTGCAAACAGACTTTGCTGGCTTGTTGGGTCAATGTTAACAACCCCAGGACCACCAAATATCTTTTCAACAATTTTTGTAAGGCTGTCTTTTTTTTTTTAAGATGGGTTGTTTTATGAGCTAACCTGGGAGCTGTCATCTCTGGAATTATTATGTTTTTTATTTGCGATAATCAGCCAGTGCTCTTGATTTTTAGTAGCCTTGTTTGCTTTTGTTGTTTTTGTTTGCTTGTTTGCTTGCTTGTTTATGTAAGAGGAAGTCTAGGAACACCAGGAATGCAAAACATACCTCCAGGGGTGATGGAATGGGAGTACCAGGCTGTCTTTACAGAGGCCAGCCTATTTGGATGCCTGGTTTGTCATTTGGTTTTCTCAGTCTTGAAGGAGATCTCACTTCAGGTCGACCAGGAATCCTTTTGGAATGTGCCTTTTTTACAGAGATGAGGGTGGAGGAGAGGTCACTGTGGATGGAAGCCTTTCAGAATCTACACAATCCCTGTTGACTGAATAATATATTAGGACTTCCACACTTATCCCCAACACCAAAGGAGCCTGCTTCTTGAGAGTTTATGCATGAACTGGCCAAACAAACACCCAACACAGAAGATCTTAGAAACACAAAACAACCTAATTCCCAGGGCTTTGCACACAGCATGTATTCAGGGAAAGTTCTCTCTCAGGTGGACCTCTGGAGGCCTCTCCTTTCCCTTTGCTTTGGTCACCTGGTATTTTGGTTTTGTGTGTTTGGTTGTAACTGGTTCTGTGGGATTATTATTAAATCTGTATAAATCAGTGTGCAGCTAAATTAAATTAAAATCTAGATTAGGCTGTTTGTAGAGGTCCTCTTGCTTTTCATTTTAAGGGCCATCTGATGGGGGGGGAGACAGGTTGAATCGATATCTCTTCCTCCCTCTCCTTCCCCCCCACTTCTTCCCTCTTCCTCTCTCTGTCTCTCTCTTTGTTGTTTGAAATAACCAAAGGGCCTGAACTGACCTTAAACTCCTAACCCTCCTGACTCTATCTCTCCTGGGTTAAGATAACTAGATCTCTCCTGGGCTAAGGCAACAAGCATGGGAGGGCATACTCAGAGGAAGCCACATCTAACTTCTGCAGTAATCTTAGAGCACATTTTAAATAGTTTGAAAAGCAATATTTAGAAAACACTTAAAGTAAGACCCTGGATTTGATTCCTAGCACTGGGGCAGGGTGGTGCATAATAGGTTACTGAGTCTTTAGAAGACTGGGAATAAAGAACTGAAAATTCTAACCAGTTTAGATGAGACCATGAAAGAAAATACTAAAAGGAAAAGGGGAGAAATGAGGAAAAAGGAGCTAAAAGGGGAAATGGTATGGGGAGATGAAAGGAGGAGGAGAAAGAAGAGAAAAGAGAAAGTCAGGAGAGAGGAGGACCTGGGGGAGGGGGCAGGAAGAGAATTAGGCCATACTAGAGTGATTCTGTGAATTTATTTTTAAGATTTTATCAGCATGTACTAATTACACATAGAAACGGGGTCCATATTTTTTCATACCTGAACACTCTTCTCTCTCCCTTTTCTCTTCCGAGCAAACACCTCCCTTCTATATTTTATGTCCTTGTGTGTATGACTCCACGAGTCTTCAGTACCCCTACCCCTACCTTGCCACTAAGGGCAGCAGCCAGTCATTCACACAGTGAGCTTTGCCACCCAGAGCATTGATAAGCAGCCCATCACTAACAAGGCTGTCCCCGTGGAAGGAGCAGTCCTCCCACTGGCTCAGGATGAAGATGAGAAGGTAACTGTGCTCCCAGAGCAAATCAGCCGCTAAAGACCTACTTGCCAAGAGTCTAAGGGACTGGAATTTTCTATCACTCATGTTTAAACTAAAGCTGCTTCTCTCCCCACAACCCTTTAGGAGTTTCTCCCGCTGATACCCTCAGCCAGCATCCCCCAGTTCTTCCACACTCTGCTAGCTTCTATCCCTGACTCTGCTCCACAGCCTCCTGGCCTGGCTCCCCCACCTCACCCCTGCCTTCCTTCCTCCTTCTCCCACAGACCTCTGGACAACACTCCTGCCATTGCCTTTCCCAGCATCTGCGCCTGTTTTCATGTCCAGCTGAGTTACAGGCAACATGGCTTCTTCGATAACTACAACATAGAGAGAGCAACTTTTTCTCTAAAGAAGGAATTGTGTTTGCCTCTGCAGCCACTTAAAACCTTTCAGAGGTTCACTCCCTCCCTCAGAGTAACCAGTGAATGTGGCGGCTCCACCGAACACATCCCTGGGCACTGAATCATTTCTGTGCCCTTGCTGATCACTGCACCAGGCCCAGAAACATACAACTCAGCCAGAGTCACACTGAAACCCTTTCTGGTTTGCCATGGCACCCACCCCTTGCCTTCCTTGGGCTGATCATTTCCCCCTTTGCCAGCATCTGTTGAGAAGTCACTCTGCCTGAGAACTGTTGCACCATCCTGTAAGCCCAGCACTCGGGAGATAGGCAGGAAGGTCACAAGTTCAAGGCTACCCTCAGCTGCATGGTAGGTTCGAGACAAGCTTGAGATTTAAGAGACCCTATCTCCTGGCCCACCAAGACAGGGCCATGAGTCTGCCTAGGTACAGGTCATCCACATACTTATTTGTTTCAACCCATAGACTACGAGCTCCCCTTTAAAACTCTACCACCAGCAACTGGGCACTGTGTGTTTGTTGTTACTGTTTCTCAAATAATTGAAGCACCCGATGGGGGCAATGGAGCATTCCGCTGTACTTTGTAAGGTCTCTGATGCCTATTAACTTCTTGGAGGGATTGGTCTGTGTTCTTTTATGTTGATCCTTCACCCTGTTCCAAGCCCTGCTCACCAACTGCCTCCACTGTCTCTTATGAATACAAAAAAGGCTTTCTTAACTCTAGCCCACACCCCTGTTTTCTGTTTTTCTATTAACTTAAAGCCTTACAAATGTAGTTTTCATTTTAAACATTCATTTAAAGTATTTAAACAATATTGTAAAAATGTTTGTGGTATTAAAAATATCTGGTAGCCAGTGCACACTTTTAATCCCAGCACTCAGGAGGTTCTATGAGTTTGAGGCCAGGCTGGTCTATAAGAACTAGTTCCAGAACAGACTCCAAAGCTACAGAGAAAATTGTTACTTAGAAACTAGAAGCAGGAGGATTGCAAATAAAAAGTAGCCTGGGGTTAGAATGTAGTTCAATAATATGTTTGCCTAGCATGTACAAATGCCCTATGACACAAAATAAAAATATGTCTTAAATCTACAACTTGGGGTGCTGGGGAAATGGCTCAGCAGTTAAGAGCACTATTGCTCTTCCAGATAGTTTGGATTTGACACCCAGGATCCACATTGTGTCTCAAAATCATCTAGAACCCTAGTCCCAAGGGATCTGACATCCACTTCTGGCCTCCACAGGCACCAGGCATACACATTAACAAATGTACATGCAGGGGGGAAAAAAAACTGCACACATATAATGGTAATAATAATAATAAATCATTTGGGGGTTCTGATTTTGGTTTGGGGTGTCTGTTTTGTTGGTTGAGACCCTCCCACTTTGTGAATTCCAAAGATCAAACTCAGGCATCAGGCTTGGCAGCAAACACTTTAACCCTCTGGGTCTCCTTATCAGCCCTGGTTTGTTTGAGGTTTTGTTTGTTTTGTTTTGTTTTGTTTTGTTTTGTTTTGTTTTGAGACAGGGTCATGCAATCCATCTGCATGACAATCCATCTGCCTCAGCCTCTTGAGTGTTGGGATCATAGAAAGGAAACTATAGCTGGTGAAATCTACCATTTTTAAGTGCACAACTCAACAATGTTAGCAAGTTCACGATGCTATCTATAACATAAGTCATCCTCCCTTCTCCCAGCAACCCCTTCCAATTCCTGAGTTTTATTTACTGTTTTAGATAACTCATATAGTAGGATCCCACTGTATTTGTTTCTCTGTGAATTGTTTCTAAATTTTACTTAGCACAGTGTACTCAAGGGTTATCTATGAGATTGCTTGTAATATGATTTCTTTTTGTTTTTTCTTGCAGCAATTGTGAGTTGAGCCTGCCACCTTATATTTACCAGGCTATATATAGGTTTTATAAACCTTTATTTAATATATATATGATCAGGCTATAATTATAACTCTCCTTTTACCTTTTTATTTTGAAGCAGGGTCTTCCTGGTTTGCACAGGCTGGCTTTGCCACCACTCTGTAGCCACAGCAGGCCTAGAACTTGTAATCCTCCTGCCTCAACTTCCTAAGTAACTGATTTTCCTCTTTTTAAAAGCTACATATATTATATATGCCAAATTTCTTTATCTGAGCTGCTTCCGCATCTTGGCTGCTATGAAAAGTACTCCACCGAACAGGCATACACATACATCTCTTCAAGATCTGTCTTGAAATCTTTTGGATATATTTACAGAATTAAGAATGCTCGATCATGTGTGCACTAGTTTTTCACTGCTACAACAAAGTGAGACAGGCTACTTTGTAAAGGAAAAAGATTTACTTTGCCTCATATCTCTAAAGGAACACAGTCTCAATAACCTTTTCTTGGGCTTTTACAGGGGCCCTCTTTGCTGTATCACATCATAGTGAGAGCACTGTCAATATCTGAGTATCTCGCCTCTGTCTCCACAGAAAAACCAGAATTCAAAACTAGGGACTTTGTCCCGATGGTCTAACCGAATCTGTCCACTTTCCAGAGGCACCACCTCTAAACTCAGCTTAAGTCCCCACCGTCTCAGTAGCCATGACAGACGTACCCTGGGCATTATTTTTACTCCTGCCCAAGGCTGAGAAGCAGAGGATACCTAGCCCACAGCAATAGAATGGCCTGCATTGCATTTTGTGAGGAATGTCCACACTGTTCTCAATAATGGCTATGTCGTTTTATAGCCCTAACATTTGCACACAGAATGCACTTTCTACCCGTTCCCACCAACCCCTGTTACTTCCTGTTATTCAAACAGGGCTCTCCCAATGGGTACAAGGGACTCCTTCATTGGGATTTTATTTTGCCTCTTCTTCTTCCATGTGCTTTTTTTTTTTGTCATTTATTCATCTTTTTTGAAGAATTGTCATTCAAGCCCTATGCTTATTTTGTCTCTAATTATGTTTTTAAAATTATTTATTTCTTTCATGTGTATGTTTTACCTGCATGTATGTCTATGCACAACATGTATGCCAAGTGCCCTCAGAGATCAGAAAAGGACAACAGATCTTCTGGATCTGGGTCTATTATAGATGGTTGTGAGCCACCATATGGGTGCTGAGAGTTGAGCCCAGTCTTCTGGAAGAGCAGCCGTCTCTCCAGGCTCTGAGTCTGGATTGTTTACATTGTTATTGCTGAGTTGTTCCGCCCATACTACCATGCACTGCTTATCGATGGGGACCTGTTCCATGAAAGGCATTAACCAGCAAGCAATTTCATCTTTGTGCAAACATCACAGAATGTGCTTACACAGATTAAGGCATCACTAGGTGTCATGATTTTAGGGGACACAAGCATGCATGCGTCTATCATAAGGTGTATGTGCATTGCTTTATCAAATATGTGATTTACAAATATTTCATCATATCCTCCAGCTGTTTTCTCACTTTGCCGTTTGTTTCCTTTAACATGTTTTTCTGTGGTCTATGAGAGAGACAGGCAGGTGAGAAGGTGTGCATGCTAGGGATGAAATCCAGTGCTCTAGGGAAGCTCTACCACTGAGCTAATGCTAGGTCACTAATGCTCACTCATGCTCACTAATGCTCTATACTGAGCTAATGCTAAGTCACTCATGCGCACTCATGCTCACTAATGCTCTACCACTAAACTAATGCTAGGTCACTAATGCTTACTTATATCCTGAATATCACCTCCACCTTTTGGTGTTAAAGAACAGTTTCCCAGGCTAGAAAATGTGTACGTGTTTGAGTGTGTGTGTGTGTGTGTGTGTGTGTGTGTGTGTGTGACAGAGACAGAGACAGAGAGAGTGTATGTAAGTGTGTGTATGAAAGAGTATGTAGATATGTTTTCCCAACTTTGGTCTTCTTGGAGAAGAGTTTCTAGACTAGAAAGATTTCCATTATTTTCATATGTATGGGTGTTTTTCCTGCATACCCATCTGTGTGACACTTGCATGTTTGGTGTTCACAGTGGCCAGAAGAGGTCACTTAACTGTAGTGGCAGACAGTCCTGAACCATCATATGGATGGATGCTGGGAATAGAACCCAGGTCCTCTAAAAGAGCAGCCCATGCTCTCCACCACTGAGCTATCTCTCCAGCCACTGGAAAAGACATTTGGACACTTAGGAACAGTGAGTCTTATTGAGAGTAATATATATATATATATGGTTGGTTTGGGGTTTTATAAATTTTAATATAATTACATTTCTCCCTTCCCTTCCCTACAACTCCTGACCCCATTCACCTCTCTCCACTTCCCTTCATATTCACAGCATCTTTATTCACTAATTGTTATTGCATGCATACATATTTAAATGTATGTTTGTGAATATTTATATACAAATAATACAACCTAAATACAACCCGTGCAATCCAAATAATGTCATTTATATGTATGTTTTCAGGGCTTATCATCAGGCACTGGACACCTGCCCAGCACCTTACTTCCTTCAGTTGCCTATAGTTCTTTCTCTATTTAAGTTTTATGCAAACGCTTTATGCAAAGCTATGTCTGTCTCATTACAGCCTTTCCACGCTTGTTAAGCAAAGCTTTGCTGTCAGAGAGCTCCACCTGCTGGTCGTGAATTTACTAAATCAAGTAGAGGCAGGTTAGTTTTAACCAACGGGCTCTGCTTCCACCTGCTGGCTTCTTTTTAAAGTTTTTAGAACACCAGTCACTTTGATTTCATGCCTGCTTACTAAGTCGTAACTATGTAGGAAGATCTGGAGCTAGGAAAGCAGCTCTCCGGGAGGCAACCTTGAAGGCATGTGGGGGCTAGCAAGGAGGCAGAGGAAGGCTATCGGCAGGGTTCAGTGTACAGCACAAAAGACAACTGTCTTCACTCACACAGCCGGGAGGTCAGCGCAGACTGGGGTGAGGTGGAGCAGTCAGGAGAGCTTTAGAGTCGGAAACGCCAAAGCCTCTCTTGAGGAAGAACTGGCGTAGACATTGAAAGCTGGAGCAGGAGTTAGAAGCAGGAGGGTCAGGCACCTGCACTGATTTTTAATAACTGAACTGAAGGCGTAAGTCACGAACAAGGCCACACCAGTTTGGAGTTATGATTAATAGGGTGTTATTTATTTAAAGGGGAAAAAACTTACAGATCACCGTCCCAAACAACAGCCATCTGCACAACCAGGAAGGGAGTCTAGTCTCCGGCGGAGCAGGAAGTGAAGAGAGCGAGCAGAGGAAATAGCCGCTTTTTTAAAGGGAGAGAGACCACGCCCCAATGGGCTGGTATCACAGCAGCTATTGGTTGGAGGGGTGGAAGGACCTCCCGCAACACCTCCCCCTTTTGTTTAAGTAAGAGAGTTCTAAACCTACTATGAAATTATATACAATAAGTACAAATATCCTATTCTAACTAGCTTAGGTCTTGTATAATAAATAACTTGGCCAAGTCGTGAGAAAAAAGTAACTACATTTATATAGTCTTCAACCCCATCAAAGATCTGAGAAGGGAAATAATGTTA